ACTGTTTCAGGGTGCTAATCTGAATTTGGACGGGGGTCACTTACCCAGCATTATCCTCATCTCTCCTGGGTTTTTTTTTTAGCCAAACTGCACCTTAATTGAGTTAAAAACTTTTTTTGTTGTTATTTCTTTGGTTTTTCCTCTTTTCCTTTTTGATCCTTAAAGAGATGTTTTAAAGGGGAGGGGAAGCGTCGGGCATGCAGCTGCCTGCCGAGTCCGGGCGCTCGCTGCGTCCGAGCGGCCCCATCTCCCACCGAGAGGCACGGGGTGATTTTAAGGGTGAGGGCTGGGGGTTTTTCTTTGGGGGGTGTTTCCCTTTTTCTTTTTGAGACGGACGCAGAGTTGAGCCTTCCCCGTAGCCCAGCCTGGGCCCTCTGCGCCACAGCCCCCTGCGCAAAGCCCTCGGCTCCCCGTCGCTGCCCCGGCCCTCGGGCTGGGCTTTCTCAGCTCTTCCCTGCCCTCTCGCAGTGCGTTTCAGCCACTCTCATCGCCTCGTCCATCCCCTTCCCCATCCTCAGTGGTGACATCTTTCTCTTTTCCATCTCTTGCAGCTTGTCCTGGGATGGGGGAAGCTCCTTGCAACCCAGTGAGGTTTCTCTTGGCTTTTTTATCCTCCCCCTCTCCCCAAAATGCCTTTTTCTTCCCCCAGCCAAGGCCAGAGCGGGGAGGGAAGGAGGACCCCCGCTGCCTGCCCTGCCTGCATCTCCTGGTACACGGGTAATGGAGATGCTGTGCTACCCATGACCGGGGCTGCTCCTTCACCTCCGGGCACCCCGTCCCGCGGACCGGGGATGCCTTTTTAGTGCCGCCTGGGTGGGACCCTCCCCGGGGCTTTGCAGGGTTGGGGGTGCCGCCGCTTCCCCGGGGGGTGCAAAGCTCCTTCGTGGGGATGGAAGGAAGAGGGGAGGTATGCTCGTGGCTTTCATCACCTCCCTCTTTTCCCCTCCGCCTCCTTGTCCTTTGACTATTCCTCTTTCTCACCCTGCCCGGTCTCCTCCTGGACTGTCGCTGGGTCTCTCGCTCTGCCCAGAGATTTTGGGGATCACCTGCCTCACAGGGACCCCTCCATCCTCCCTCAAACTTCACAGGGCAGGGGGGGCTCATGCCTGGCTCAGTGAGCCGGGATGGGCGTCTGCGGGGAGGGAGCGAGAGCGTCCCCTTCTTCCCCGTGAGGGGACCCACGCCAGGACCCCTGCATTTGGGGTCACGGTCCCCCCGTTTCCCATCCACGTTAGGGTCGAACCTCGGCGTAAGGGCTCTGTGCATAAGCCATGTCGTGGGGGGGAGCCCGGGGATGGCGGTGGCAGCGTCGGGCCGGGAGGGAGAGGTTTATTTTGTATATGAATGATTTTTAATGAATGCAATATTAATCCTTGCAGATGAGCAATAAATCATTAAAGTCTAATTAAACTATTAGGAAAAACAAAGCGCTTTTGCTTGTGGGCAGTTTCTTTGGAAGAAAGAGCAAATGCAATCCCTTGGGGACCCGGAGCTGTGTCCAGGCCCAGGGCCTGGGCTGGGATCTGCCTTTGGCCACCTCGAGATGGGCTTTGGGCCCCGCCAGCACTCCCAGAGCAGCTCCAGGGCCCTGGATTTTGGTGTCTGCCCCCCTCTAAGCCCCTCTGGGCCCTTTCACTTGGGCTTTAAACCCCATCAGGTCCTTTTGTTGGGGTCTGGCTCCCCTCTGAGCCCTACCAGACCCCCTCTTTTTGGGGGGCTGAGCCCCTCCAAGCCCCTTGATTTGACGGTTCACTTGTTCTAGGCCTCCTCGGTTTGGGGTCTGCCCCCCTCCAGCCCTGCCCCTTCCTGCCCCTCCTAACATGGCGGCCCGAAGGTAGGCGCCGAGGGAGGGCGGAAGTGCCCCTCCCAACATGGCTGACGCCACTCCTAAGATGGCCGCGCGGGGGCGGA